GGAAAGATAAAACGAAACAGAAAAAAACATAATAAAACATAAGCAATGTAATGAAACATCAAATCAAGACAAGATTAAATTCTAAAATTGTAACTCAGATACACGGTCAATGCAGAGCAAAATACACAAATAATACAAAAAACATAGAGAATCGGGGAGAGAAAAATCTGCCTGATGTTCAATAATAGAAAAAAACACATGGTGAGCATTCACTATGGAGGTAGGCTGGCATTAGTGGTGAGTGGTTAGCTAAACGCTTGCGTAAAAAAGTGGGTTTTTAGGTGTTTCTTGAAGGAGACATTGTTATCTAGGGAGCACAGATTAAAATGGAGTTCATTCCAGAGCCTGGGGGCCACAGAGAAGGCACGGTCACCACAGGTCTTAAAGCGAGTGAGGGGAACCATAAGGAGAAGTTGATCCTGTGAGCGGAGGTCCCATCTGGGGTTGTAAGGTGAAATGAGACTTTTAATGTATTCTGACTTCAATTCACTTCCAGTTTTTTAGCCAAACCCTGACCCCTAGCCTGGCCCTTGCCTTCCTACGCAGTTCTGCTCAGTTCTAGTTTCCCTTCACTGCTCCGTCTGGGATTTCTCCCGTAGACAAGGACTTCTCCAGGAGCATTTCATTCAGGCCAATCAGAGAAGAGAACATCGATGTTCTGCGCAGTGTCTGCTAGTTATTTTAGCATACGGCAGTGAAGGAAGTGAATGAAGCCAGTCTGTGTTGATAAGGCTTCCAAATTAAAATAAATTTGTCTGACAAAGCAGCAGCTCTCATTTACAGTTGTCTCGTTTGGCTCGGTACTTCTCTCCTTTCAGTAGGGTTGTTTACAGCGCATACAATTTCTGATTAGCTTCTTAGCTTAGCCTCCTTCACAGAGGAGCTGACATACACATACGTCACGGCCAACCGATCTAATCGTTTTAAACTTCAGCAGAGGCCACGCCTCCAGCAAGAATCGCTTCTCTGTAGCCGAGAGTCCAGACCCTCGTACGAAGCAAAGTGAAGCACAAGGGAAGCCTGACCCCTGACCCCTTACCCTAAACCTAAACACTCCAGTTCATACTGGACCCTAAACCTAGCCTAATATCAATTCACACCTTAGTCCTAACCCAAACCCCAACCCAAAAATGGTGTTCCACCATCTAGTATGGGTCTTTGGTCCCCATAGGGAACACTGGTCTTGACAAGGTATGTGTGTATACCAGAAACGGCCCTAAAAAGATAAAAAATACAAGTACACACACAGAAGCTGCACTGACAAAGGCCTTTTAGAAAAATGTATTATTATATGATTACCAGTTTATAGATGGTGAAATCTAACATCAGACAAAATCAAGAAATTTCACAACAAAAACTTTCAAAAGTATTAAAAAAAATAAAGGGCCACAATGTTTAGTAGACCTTCCTACCTGCTCTCCTGGTCGTCTCTTGACTCCTTTTTCAATCTGAGTCTGCTCCCAAAGCTCCTGCTCCTCCCCATCAGTGCTTGAGAAACTGTCATCAGATCCTCCTGACTCACACACAAAAAGATCAATTAATGTTATAGTTTAAAGAAATCACCAGGTTTAAAGGAAAACAGAATTATTCACACAGGCCAAATATGATAGATTTAATGTTTGAAAAAAATCTATTTATGCATACGATTGGAAATATTTTTGATTCCTCAAACAGAAACTTTGTTTCAGCTCTTTGTTAAATCTTTTTTTTTTTATGAATTCACTAAAATCTTTAATAACATGGTTATGGGTTGTGTAATATCACTGTTCTGATCCATTTATTATTTTATATTCATATAATGATTATTGAATTAAATAAGGACATATAGGGAAAATAAATAAATAAATAAATAAATAAATAAATAAATAAATAAATAAATAAATAAATAAATAAATAAATAAATAAATAAATAAATAAATAAATGTCCTATTTTTCTTGTGAACTACACCATCTTCCATGTTATCCTTCCCTCATACCTCATACCTAGTTTTTCTGCAATCGTTTCCCTGATGCTCTTCATTCGTGGGGCGAACTCAATCCTCCGCTCGTGATCATCTGGCTCTTCATCATCATCTTCATCATGTCTGCTATGGTGATCTGGGGTGCTGCCAGCCGAGCTTCGGCCATCTCTGCTCAAAGAGATGAACTCTTTCTGGGCTCGAGCAGCACGACGCTTCCTCCTGGCCAAGTCGATCTCCTTAGCATTCGGGATAACTGCTATTTAGGCAAAACCAATACAGCAGACATGTTAATGCATACAAATAAATACAGATTAAAACACAACTTACTTTACACACTGAAAACCAAATTAGATACACACAAAAACTCTGTCACTTCTTTAACTTTTTATGTAAAAAACACATACTTGGTTTGGCAGAAGAATGGCTGGAGTCAGAGACTGAGTTAGCCGACTGAGAGCTGGCATCCTCCTCATCACTGTCAGCATTGTTACTGTTGTCGTCATCATCATCATCATCATCATCATCAGGTGAATGTGGTGAAGCTTCAGTAACATGCTTGGGAGGACTGGATGAAAGGTCACCAACACCACTTGAGGCTGGAAGAGAGTAAAGACGTCAACCAGGAGAAGTTGTTGTCATGATGCTTTTGTTTTGTAACATTTGTTGTTTTTGCTGCATTGTGAAATGAGCTGCTTAACAATAGACCATTTTGTATTTCCAAATGTATGAAGAGGACAGGTCCACAGGTCATACAGTATAAAGGTTTTTATGGAAATGCCATTGGAATTGAACAGATTTAACCATTATCAATCAATCAATCAGAAAATAATTGTGTAGGTCTTCTGGACAGGTTCTTCTCTAATGAAACGTTTCGTCTCTCCTCCAAGAGACTTCTTCAGTCTGAGAGTTTCAGGCAAAATTCAGGCTTTTAAGCACTGCCTCCATGTGACTGATACTCACAGGAGGACTGCGACCAGTTATACAT